TAGATTTAAAATGAAAAATCAAGTTATTTGGAAATATGGATGTTAGTGGCATTTTTAGGTGGGAATGGTAGTGGTTCATTAATGGGAATTGATCAGTTTAAGAAAGAACATTGGTTGGTTGAAGTTTGGATTTAAAAAACAATTTTTATTTATTTTTGTGGTATCAAAATCGAGGGTTGATTTGTGATGATTTGAATTTAAAGTTGGCTTTTCCTCAATGGGTTTTGTGAGTTGTTTATTATTGAAGAAAAAACAATATCCGACATATCCGTTGAATACGGTTGCTGCAGCCATACATTCATGAGCTGTGAAATCATTTAGAAAATGTACAAAAATTAATCTTTTAAAAATATTTTTCGTCAAATAACCATCGGCCGCACACAAAATAAAAAAAACTATGCAGATAGTAGTGGCGACGAATGACAAAAATGCATTACAACACAAATCCATTCTACCTGAAAAAAATAAAACAATTTTTCACGAGAAATGGTTCATTTGACGAAAATATTTTTAAAATTTCAGCTCATGAATTATGGCTGCATCCCGCAACCGAAACATGTAGAGCAGGAAATTGTTTATTCTTAAACATTAAACAACTCAGAAAACCAATCTAGGAAAAGCAGACTTTTAATTCAATTCACCATGAATTTTTTCTTTTTTAAATGCTGTGTTTTAGCTGAAACAGATCAAACAAATTAAAGCAAAAGAAATGAGGGGGAATCTTTATTTCCATTATTTCTTTATATTTTTATTAACACTTTTAAATATTTTTTTACAATTTCATTTATTAAACATGAAGATTTTTTTGAAAAATAAGGCCTTAATTTTAGTATATCAGTAAACTCAATTTGCAGCCAAATTAAAAAAAATCTGGCTTGTATTCAGCAGTCTGTAATACAGTTGAGATACGCAGGTTGCATAAACGTTCAAATGGCAGGCGTTTCTTCTCACTAACTAAATTTATCTTTCTTATTATTTTGAGCTCTGTCGTGATGATTTCATTCCAGCAGAAAAATTATGTGTACAACACACCCTCTTTGGCAATCCGTTTCGGAATCAGGGCGGTAATTTGTTGGCAAATCTCTACTAAAGCGAATTGCAGCTGCTGAAAGGTTATTTATCCACGGCGCATAACTCATAACCGTATCCCCGGGGTGGCGGCGCAGTAGGGAGGAGGGTGCATTTATTTTCGCTCAAGTGCCGGTGCGAAGATAAAAAGCGGAAAGATGCCGGCCGAGATAAATAAGAGCAGAGCGAGAGAGAATAATCCGCTCTGGGCTTGTAATTGGAAACGTGTCGGTCGGCCGAGGAGTCTTTAAGCGCCTCTTTGAGCGCCGCCGTTACCCTTGATGAAGTCGCTAAAGGGGCGCGCGAAAGAGACAAGTGAAACAACCCCTTCTGCCACCACGCCGCAATTAATACGGATTGACAACTAATCTGGCCGATAATTAGACTCACCTCGCGAAAACCTGCTCCCGTCTAATTGCTGCATGCACTTGTAAGGGGTGGAAATATATTTTTTACAACCTGATTTTATTGTTTTATTGCACAGGGTTGTCGGAAATATGGGTTCAAATGCAGGTGAAAGTAGTTAACTCTGTTAAGGTCACATATTTTTGTTTTTATCAACTGTCAAATCAAAAGTTGCCAAAGGTTGACAGAAGTCTGCAAAAAAGACACAAGTTCAAGTAAATAAATATTTTTTATTCTCTGCAATCTAGTTCAAAAAGACAAAATTTGTAGTGTACATTTAATAAGTAGGAATGCGCTACTAGTTTTTTCCTCTCTCAAAAGAATGATTCAAAAATTAAATTTTATTAGATGATTTAGTGATATTTTTATGCTAATTCTGCAATTTTAGTAGCATGTAATGTTTACTAATGAACGAAAAATAACAGAAATAATTTAAATACACCCAACATTAGAATCAAAATTATTAAGTTATTGAGTTTAATTAAAACAATTTAAATGTAAAATTTGAAATGGTTTTTCTGGTGCGAAGGATATCAATTTTTTTTAATTAAGTTTGTATTATCTAAATGAATTCAATAACTCAATCAAAAATCATTGAGGATGGCAAATTATATATAAAAAATTTTTCAGTTAAAATATTTTACCCATTGGTGTAGTTTTTAAATACAAGAGACGCGCTGTCCAAAGTAAAAATGCAGCAGCCTCTTTTGCTATTGTGTTGCGAGAGCGCGATTCATTAATAAGTTTGGCATTCAATTACCATAATACCAATTCAAACATAGGGGAGGGAAACAAAACACCGCATGCAGCGAGCAAGTTTGCTTAACACATCGCCCTCCTTTCCGCGGTGTAAAATTGAGTTATCTTTTCTCTAGAGACCGCGTCGTTTGCAGAACGCGCCATCACTGCAGCTCTTCCACTTAAAATTGACCTGCCCGTCAGTCCCTCCAGCCAGATGCACAATCAGAGTCACAATTTAACGAGCATCACAAGTCTTTTGAATATAGCGAGAGGGAATCAGAATGATTAATTGCGGCAGGAGAATAAAAATATGGCTGAGGATAACTTCAGGCCGTATGCAAGTTATTACTGCACAAAGAAAAATCAGTATAAGAAATTATTTGTTTTTACAATACATATTATATAGTTGATTTGTTTCTGTTTTTTTTAAAACTCTGAAAATAATCAATTTGGTATTTAAAAAAGTGTAGCGCAGACTAGCTCTTTTTACAAACATTTTGTTTTCAATACATCGGTTTAAATACTCCCTGTGTTATGTGTTTGAAAGAGAGGACCGAAGAGCGCACAACAGTTATGTATGTGTGTCCTTTGAAGTCACATAGTCTGAAACGTATCGATTTTATTTACTTTTATTTATTATATCGGGCTTCGTTTCCAATTGCCAAGTCTGTCATTCGGTCGGTCGTTCTTGCACAATCCATCAGCAAAATGAAAGGCGCCCACGCTCGAAAATACAGTGCACAGAAAAGCTCCCCGACAAAAAGTTCCAACGCACAGCCAACAGTAAATAAATGTGTTTGCGGCCAATCCGGCGGAATCCAGACCAACTTTTTCCATTCAACGTTTTTATGCACAAAGAGTTGATCCGCTCCAACTTTCCTGCTGTTTTTACCTGGAATTCGTTATGATAATTACATGATGTTTTCAATCTCCTCTGAACAGAAATGTTTATTCATAAACAAATTTGGGAGAGAACATTATTTTATTTTCTAAATTTTCCATCTCTGCTCATCAAAAAAATACATTTTTCAACTCTGATCTTCTTTTCTGGTGAAACAAAGCCGGTGTAATTGAATGATAAAATTTTACAATAGTCATCGACAGCGATTCTTCGGAGTCGAGTGTGCATAATAATAGTGTTTCACTCTGTTGTTACTATGACTACGAGCTGAGCACAAACACGTACAAAACAAAATTGCCGTTTCTGCTCTTCATTCTTTTTCCATTCCAGAGTCTCTCGCTCTCTCTATCTCGTCTTTATTATTATTCCCGCCGCCTTTATTTCCATTGTTATTTGCCTTTGCGCGCAGAAAGAGAGAGGCAGGTATTTTATTTAATAGTTTTTCCAAAAGCACGCGCTACAGAATAATGAAATGTGTTCCTCTTGCGACACACCCCGGCTGTGCTCATATAAAATTCCATCCACTCGCACTGCCGCTGATGATTTTTCCTGCGCGCGTTATTAGATTTTGCCATCACAGTGCGCGACGGCGGAAATATACTTACTCTGCGCTGCAAATCTCTCTCGCCGTAGTGATGTTTTCATTATCTCCTCGCTGAAAAGTCAATTGAATCAGCGTGCAGCAGCGGCGCCGAGAGAAATTGCCGTTGAATAAATTGCAGGGGAGCGCAGACTTATTTAGAAAAGAAAATAACTTTTGGAAGGGAAAACTTTCACCAGAATATTTTTTTTTTCTGAAATTTTAATCAAGAATGGTCTGCTTTAAAGTGTCTTGTGTCTTTATTCTTTTCTTTCTTGAAGTTAGGTTCAACTTTTATAATTTTTGCCTAAAAATATTTGATTTTAGAGATCATGCACATACAGCCACTCTAAAATTTTAAGTGCGATGGCACTATGGAAATTTTGAAGATGTAATGCAAATTGCTTACAATTTTTTTGTAACTAATTAGCAAATATAAATAATTATAATCATATGAAACGAATGTATTGCAAGTATCATTGACAGCCAAATTGTTCACTTGATATAAGCGCTGCACATATTCCGTTAATGTCACCATAGCTTTTTTAAGTTATGTACTGATTTAAGATGTATTATATTGAGCAAAAAGAGGATTTTTATTCAAGTATACATAGCTCAGAAAGTGAAAATTATAATAATATAAAAATAGTCAAGCACTGCAAACAGAACGCTGCGCCAAAATATTTCAACTGGTTAAATTAGTTTAAAAAAAATGACTTCAACAAAATCAAGATTAAACCACAAATTTTGGCTTGCGATAAAATTTACTAAATTTGAACAAAAAGTGAATTTTATTTATCAAAGTGCGTAACTCAATATGCCGAACTTAATTAAGTAGAGTTAAAGTACAACGATGCGATTAAAGATTTATAATGGTTAAATTATTAAAATAAAAGCATTGAACGACTACATCATTAAATTTTAGCCGTCTGTACATTTGATTAATTTTTAGTATTAAGAGATATTTTATATCAATACATTATTTATTTATTATTCAATAAACCTAATTTGAATAATTTTTTGTTTATTGCATTATTAACATTATACTTACTATTATTCAGGCAAGAATGAAAAACTTCTAGGCTTTTTAATTCAATTTATAGAGTGATTTTGATAAAACAAGCATGCAATTTAATATGCTTAAGATAAAGTAATATCTGATTTAACTAAATTGAAAGTTTCTGTCGACTTTGATCTTTAAATTTATATAAAGTTATTATTTTTATTTATAAAATTGATGTATGTTAAAATTGTCAAAACCAAGGGATTTCAATGATCGCAATGGCTACAGGTATGGAAGTTGGTGTTCCGTGCCCAGCAATGACCCTCTCCACGCACCATATGGCCGACGCGAACCGAGCGACCCCCGAGCACAAAATCAACATCGCACCTGCAGGCAAACCGAATCAGGTGGGTGTCATTACTGTCATTAGTCGGCGAGCGTGATTAACAGGTCGCTGCACGCACCACGTAGATCTTGATTTGAAAAAAAAATGCACACTTTTTCATCATATATTTCGAACAACATCTGTTTCAATGGTAAAGGTCAGTCAGTTTGGTCAGCTCTTTTGAAATTTCAGAGTTACAAAAACCAGATTTAACAAAATAAGAGACCAAAATTTCTCTCCTCTGTTGGGACAGAGCAAATTCGACGAGCATAACAGTGGCGTGTCCCAGGTGAGTCAGGTGCTGCTGTACGGAGTGCCCATCGTGTCGCTGGTCATCGACTGCCAGGAGCGGCTCTGCCTCGCCCAGATCTCCAACACGCTGCTCAAGGAGTTCAGCTACAACGAAATCCACAACAGGCGCGTCGCCCTCGGCATCACGTGCGTCCAGTGCACCCCCGTGCAGCTGGAGATTCTGCGGCGGGCAGGGGCGATGCCCATTTCGTCCAGGAGGTGCGGCATGATTACCAAGAGGGAGGCTGAGAGGCTCTGCAAGAGTTTCCTCGGAGACAACTCGCCACCCAAGTTGCCCGACCACTTCGCTTTTGATGTTTACCACGAGTGCGCCTGGGGTTGCAGAGGAAACTTTGTTCCTTCAAGGTGAGAAATAAATTAACTCTCTTAAACAAAGATGTGCGATTTTCTCTGGGAAATAATCTATTTGGCCTATTTTTTATATTATAATGGATACCACCAAAAGTAACTTGAAAGTTTTTTTGCTCCTATTTATAATCCTGAAAATTTTATCTGTTGAAGTACTTGCAGTATGATTAGGTAATTAATAAAATTCATCATTAAGTTTAGAGTATTAAAAATAGGTATAAAATTTTTGTTTTGGTATTTTTAAGTTAATTTGAACCCCATTTCTTGTTGAAAATTTCTATTAAAAACTATTTCGTGGTGTTTGAATTTAATTTTGCCTTTTCCTTGGTGGGCTGTTTGACCTACAATCATATATTAGTTTGCAACGTTTAAAATTTCTAAAATCCCCAAACATTTAAATGTATTTGTCTATTTTCCTTGTTGCCAGGTACAACTCTTCCCGTGCCAAGTGCATCAAGTGCACCTACTGCAATCTGTTCTTTTCGCCGAACAAGTTCATTTTCCACTCGCACCGTCTGCCCGACTCAAAATACGTGCAGCCCGACGCGGCCAACTTCAACTCGTGGAGGCGCCACATGAAACTTGCCGGTTGCCCTCCCGAGGACGTCACGCACGCCTGGGAAGACGTCAAGGCCATGTTTAACGGTGGCACCAGGAAGAGGATGCTCTCCTCCCACTCGTCGTCCGATTCAGCCCCTCCGATGCCCAAGCAGCCCAAGAGCAGCGAGTCGAGATCGTCCAAGAAGAACAACAACAGCCACCACCAGTCCCAACCGGCCATCCAGACGGTGGTGCCCAGCAGACCTGCTGATATGGCACCATTCCAACCGAGCGTGAGAAAAATTTTATTAAAATTACTTATTATTTGAATAACTATAATTGTTATTCAAGAAATTTAAAAATTAAGGTAAATTTTACTTGAGATTTCTGTTATGAAATACTGCAAACATTTATATTGAAGATTACGGATCCAAAAATCATTGAGTCAATAAATAAAGTATGAAAAAAATTTGTAACATAAATTTAATTTTTGAAAACTCATTTTTTTCAGCCTCTAGCGCCAGTTCCACCTTCCCCTATGACCCCTCGCGTCCCTCCAACGGCCGTTTACTCCGAAAAGCCGCCCTCCTACCCTTACGACCTGCACCGAAGCTTTGTTGACTACGTCTGGGGTCACCACCAGGCCCCTCACGCCCCTATACAGCACCACAAACCCTTCCAGTTCGCTCCCTACTCCTTCCCCTGGCTCAAACGGCCCTCTTTGCTGGCATTCGGACCGGCGGCCGTGGCCGCCGCAGTGGCCGGTGAAACCGCTCTCCCTGATCATCCCCAGCAACTTACCCCGCCAGGCCCGGCGGCCGGATCAGCGGCCGCTGCGGCCGTGGCCGCTCTCTCGCACCACATCTACTCGAGCGCCTTCCGGCCTGTGGTGAAGCCCAGTCCGCCCCTGCCGGTCGGCAACCAGAGTGACGAAGAGGAGGAAACGGTGGACATTGAGACCACTGAGGACCCTCCGCCAGCTCCTCTGTGGATCACGCGACCAAGGTCAACGTCCCCTGCGTCTGAAAGGGCAGCTTCTCCAGAACCTCAAGATGAAAAGGTAGGATGTTATTTTTGTATCTCAAAAAGTGAACCGTTTCTTAAAATTATTAAAAACTGCTTTATCAAATTTTTTTTATCATTTTAATATCTGTTACCAATCCGCCAGATTTATTTTATACTAATATGGTCTCAATGCAAAGTAGTTTTTTTAGTGGCTAATTTATTTGTTATGGTAGAAAAGCATTATTTAAGTTGATCACGGTTGATCAAGCTGTTTAAAATAATTATGGATTATTTTTTTGGCAATTCTTCATGATAATTCTTATTGTAATAATGTTCAAATTTCAATTATACTGGAAATTCAATTGAGAGTTTTGGATTCATTTACCGTTTTTTATTATATTAAACACAGTGTGAAGCACAAATTCATCATTTTGTCTCTGTTGATGGACTTAACTGGAAATTTAATTCAATAATCCGCCAGTTTAAGGATAACCAGCAAGTCTTAAACCGGGAGTGGAAGATTTGCGCGCTACTGCTGTCGTCGCATAATCCTAATTGAAATTGTTACTTTTTAGTCGTCTGGTGCGGTCGGAACAAAGCTTTGATACAATACCTTACGTAGATACAGAATAATTTGGCAAAGTTGCCCCGAGCGCGAGCGGAGAGAGAGGAGACAATTTTGAATTATTAACTCTTTTGTGTGCCGCGCTGACAAAGAGGATTGCCTCGTTATTTAGCTCTAGGCCAATTTAATTAAAGGCGCGTATTTAAAAATTAAACTCCGCTGCCGAGAAACACAATTAGCTAATTTGCTGGTCGGATTAATCAAGAGAAACAAATAACGCCGAGTTAAAATGTTCAAATTATTCTTGAGCTTTAACAACCGCTAACTTAATTATGCATGCGCAATTTGGTTCCCTTAAGGAGGTGATTAGTATTCTGGCGAGTGGAAAAAGTGGAAAAGAAGTGTGCGGCGAATCACTCTCCGAGGAGCCATCGTAACCAACCGAAACTTCTTTCTTTTAGTTTTTCCTTTTTTGCGTCAATTTTCCGAACGCTCGCGCAAACGAGAGAGACATAAAGACCCTTCTGGCTTAATTAAATGCATTTAGAGTGATTATATTTAACGTGTAGGGTGTGTCCCTGTGTTGCTCACTGCATTTGTGATGGATGGCTGTTCGGAAACCTGAAACCGGGGGCACACGACACTTTATTTTTTATATCCGACTTCTTTCTTTCTTTAGGCTGCTTTCACAAAATTGGATTGAATTTCAATTCGCTCTGTTTAATGGAATAGAGTATTTCTGCGTACCAGAGTGTGTTTGTGCTCTTTGGCCGCGTCGCGCTTTATGGCTTTATTAATTAAAAAGCCCAGGCTAAAACTATAAGCAAGTGACCTTTGCATGAGCAGCGCCGAATAATCACCCTTTACTTATTTACTGTCGCCGGCCGCCGCTTTGATCGTCGTGCGAGGAGAAAAGGGCACCGCTTAATTGCCTTTTTGACGCACCGTTGGTCAATAACTCTGCTGATATTAGTTTAGCACAACTGCGACTACACCAAAAAAAGCGTAAGAATATTAATTTTGCACTGAAAACTTTTTTTATTTTATTAAAATTAAAAGCTAATTTAATTTTTTACTTTGAATTTGAAGAAAATAAGTTCAAGTAAAGGGATAAAAAATCAGCCTATTAAAATTCAGGAATTATTAATAAAGCGAACAATTAAATATAGGGCAAATTTTCACAACTAACGGAAATGTCCTAGGAAGGTTGAGATAGAGGGACTTTAAATTCAAACTATAAAAATTTTATTTAACGGATATTAACATATTATCCTTACAAATAAATAAATTTAAAAAATTTTAAAATTAATATTTGGCAAATTTCATAAATCTTTTCTTCTTTTTATTTTTTGAGAAAAAAAAAACTGAAATTTCTCAAGCTCAACAGTCGCATAATCAATTCTGTCCCTTTTAATGTGCCGACCTTGTTTTGCATGGCAAGCCAAAACCAGCATTTGCGCAATAGGAAATGTAAATAAATTTGGATTCACTTTGCACGATTACTTTTGCGGCGGGCGCTCGACTCGGATGGCCTAATATCAATTAACATGTTGTTTACACGTGGAACGTGTCACCTTATTTGAAAAAGAGAGCAGCGCGGGGCCCCGACCGGCATTACGCAGCGTTTTATTTGTTATTCGGTGCTGACAGGTGCAAACACGCCTTGGTAAATATAACACAGAGAATCAATTTAATTAAATTTTACTCACTGAAAATGTACTGCTAAATTAAATTTCCCACCTTTGTTATTATTGAAATCAATTTTGAACAAATAAACCTCACAATTTAATTATAGAGAAATTTCAAAAAAGCCAGTTGTATGTAAATTAAATAATGTATTTTTGAATGCGACTGAGAAATTTTGATTAATATTTTATGGTTAAGGTCAGTGGCAGCAGCAAAGTAAATTACAGAGCAGAAAAGAGACCGCGATCGCCCCCTGCATTTCGCATTACGATGGCCCTCATTTTTCAACGTAACGTTTAAATGGCAGCTCGTGGTGCCGCGTGGCATTTGACATTTCGGCCGACCAACCATCTCCGTAAACCGCATTATCACAAAAGCCGAAAGGGAGACTGTGTTTCCGGAGAGGAATTGTTTTACAAAATCTCAAAATTTCAATTCGGTGCAACAATAAGTTTTTTTATTTTAAAATAACGCTATTACTTATTTTTTTTTAAATATCTGATAATTCTTTTAACATAAAAATTAATTAATTTATGCTTAAAGAGAAATTTGAGCTGTAGAAGGATTCTAAGAAAATTGATTAAATCCTGAGCGTCTTGTTGTAATTTTCCCTCTTTCTGCGCTGTTTACCTCAGGAAATTAAGGGATGAGCAGCTAGTTAGAAAAAGTGTCAACCCCACTGTTGTATGTTTGCCGTGAAATTGGTGCTGGTTGTTTAAGCGCGGCGGCACACAGGAAGCGACGAAAAATCCGACCGGCGAGAGCACCCCCGGCTCGCGCGCTGACTTTGCCCGCTAATGTCACTATTATTTGAATAATCCACGAGGGACGGCAGTCAAAAGTGCCTTATGTTGATAACTCTCCGCAGCAATCACTATAATTATATCTGCACTCCACACGACGACGCTAACACCCCCCTAATATACAAATGCATAGGGAGTGTTATTAAATATCGTTATTTTAATCTTTCAATCGATTGAGAGCAAATGCACAAAAGATACCGATTGGATTTATAATATTTTGTTTTCTGAATTTTTAGATCTGTCTTTAATTGAAATCTTTATTTTTAAATGTTATACAACCGCAAAATCTTTAGAAAATAAATTAAATAATTATAAATCATTCCTTATAATTTTAAAATGTATTCTAATATGTTTCAACAAGTTTGTTTTGGAGAAAACATAGATCATTACAATATACTATTTTTAATAACAATAACATATCGACACCCAATACGATCAATTATTGAGTTATAAAATGTTCCTATTAATCAAAATTCACCCTCTTGCACAAATGCTTTAAAACAAATTATTTTTCGTTTAAATATAAATCATAAATCATAGAGCGTTGCCTTTAGTATTTAATGTAATATTTAATAATTTTGATGCTAATTTAATTTTATGCTTGAATAAAAATGATATACATAAAAAAATTATATAATATTCTATTAATAATAATTTAATTTGTTATACAAATAATACAATTATAGGAAATATAAAAAAATATTTTAAAATAATGTTGCACAGTAAAAATATATAAAAATACTAATGTTTAGAAAAATTAATTACAAATAGTAACATATAATAAAATGTTTATTATTTATTACACGTGTTAATATCTTTTGTGTCATGACATGAGTATTTACAAAACGGAGGGTGCTTAGAGTTTAAATATTCGTCATCGCATGGGCTGGTCTCAAACGTGAAGCTTTTATCCTCGGCTCAGCTGGTCTCCCAGGAGATCCATCTCGTTTTTTTCGCACACCAAGACAAGATTGAATCCCGTTCGCGACCAAAGCAAAAGCGGACACCCCTTCCTTTGAGTCGAAAACAAACAATGGGCAGTCGAGTGCCCCTTGCCTGGGCGTAAATATGCAACCCTCTCTGCCGCTTTAAGCTTTTTTCCTGTCGGCGAAAGGTCACGCGCTGGCATTTGGCGCCGAATTCGCTGCCGCACGAAAAGAATAATACACATTTAATGAGATACACACTTAACTTTTATATTAAAGGCATAAAAAAAAGCAGCGCGTATAATAATGACTCTCTCGTCGGCAGCGCTGATTACCAATCCGCTGGGGAGCTGATTGTCAGATTTTGAAGATGACGCGACGCCATTAACATTTCATTTTCCCATTTGTTATGGCTGCTCGGGGAGTTTTCGCGGAAAAAAATGAAATGGGAAAAAATTGCTGCGGGCCGCGATGCGCATTTTTAAATTACCATCAAAGAAGATTAAAGTGTACGCGCGGCTCTGCCAGCAGCGGCGGAGGAAAAACTTCCGCCCAAACGACAAGGGGGACGCTAATAGGCCACCGCACTGCTGGTAAATAAGTTTGCACCGTTTTTGCATGCGATGGAAAAAATCACTAAATGTCAAAACAGTTTTTCGGTATCAGCTCTGTAAAAGAAAAAAAAAAATCAATACCAGAAAGGTGAGAATTAATTTAAAAAAAATCAATACCAGAAAGGTGAGAATTAATTTAAAAAAAATCAATACCAGAAAGGTGAGAATTAATTTTTGAGGAAAATTAAAAGGTCCATTTAAATTAGTAAAGTAGAGTTTTGTATTGTTTTTTCTCAAACAATAAAAAACTTACAAAAACCCACATCAAGGAAAAGCCGAATTTTAAATTCAAATCACCAAGGTAAAGAACGATTTGACAAAATTAGTTAATTTGACAAAAATATAAAAATTAAAAAACAAAACTGTCTAGGCGCCTTTATACGTTAAAAGTTTCAAATTGTGTTTATTGATATATCACGTTTTTTTACACATTTTAATTTTAAAATTTTCTTGTACATACTTCGAGCAAAGTAAATATATTAATTGTTATGATTCTGCACTGTCTGCATGAAAAAAATTCTCCCAAGACAAATATATTGAAATGATATTAAAGCAATAATTTTAATTACAATTAAAAAACCAACTTCTTTTCAGACGCAAACATTTCTTTTCCGTTCTTATTGTTAAATGAAAATTTTACTTTTATTATATTTCCTTATGTTTCTCTTGACGTGGAAATGTTCCATATACAGATCAAGAGTCGTGAAAGAGCTTGGCAGCAGTGCAGTAATTGAATGCGAAAACCTCGAAAGTTCTTTTAAACATTGGAAATAATAGCGTCGGAGAGCAAGAGATAATGGGCACGGATGTTTTAGCAAAAGAGGAGAGCTCGCAGCTCTTTCTCTCGTCAAAATCTCTCTCTCCCGCCAATATAACAAGTTTGCGCAGAGCTTTGCTTAATCCTTTCTGAAACTCTCTATATATATTTATCTCTTTTGTCGAAACTCGGAATGAGAATTCAAACTGACTGGAAACTCTCTTTACCATTAATTATAGCCGCAGGCCGGCTCAAAACTGTGCCGCTGCCGCTCAAACACGGAAAGTCATCAATAATTCGCCGCTTTTGCATAATACGTCGCTCTCGGTTTTATATACTCCCACCGGTGTTATACCATATTTTGCTACCGGCGAAATTTATTTAAAGCTCTAAAGAGTGCCACAAATTTAAATTAATTAATGAAAACTTCGATATAAGCGTTAAAAAAAAAAAACGCAAGGCATAAGAAAAAAAATTAATTTAATCAATTTATGAATAATAATTTATTAAATTTGCTGTAAATATTTAGGTCAACATTAGTTTTAATAATTATTTATCTCATTGTTATTATTTCCTCTTGATTGCTTTATTTTGAATTTATAGAGGTTTTGTTTTGCTGCAGGCTGCATTTTAATTGGTAAAATAAAATTATGAAAGTCGGCCATCCCAGGAAATTAAACACTTAAGGAAATATGACCTGAAATCAAATTTAGACGGTAAAAAGAGAAATTTAAAAATTCAAGATAATCCTGAACTGAAATTTCCTTGATATCACCCACATTTACATCATCCATTTGATAACAAATGATTTGTCACCATTTTCTAAATAAAATATTTTCAATTTTTATTTCGCTACAAGAGTAGATCCCAGGGGATTTTCCCGTGTAGAGATTCGCCTTCTGGGGATCGAGGGTGGGAGGAGCGACGAGGGATGAAAAAGAAAGTGGTGCGCGCCGAGATGGGGGGATGCGTGCCGATCCGCTAGCTCATGGTAATCTGATGAGTATTATCAAGAACAATAATCGCTGAGCAACGTTGCTATTGAAACGCACTCTATCTATAATTCAGGCGATGCAAATTCATTAACAATTGCTCTAGTTGCTGCGGGCAGACGGGGAGAAGCGCCCTGCGTATTGCGATCGCTACACACAGTACTTGCTATTTGTACTTAATCACTAATAACGCGCGCTTGTCTATCTCCCTAATCCTCCTGCCCTCTTGCAAGAGTGAGCTCTTGTTTGGCAACAAAAAGGATTTTGTTGCAGTTTAAAAATGCATTAAATTCAACGGTGAAAATTTACATTGATGGGAAAGAAGGGTAAACTTGAAGTTTATTGCGCTTTTTAAATCAAATTAATGTTAGTCTCTGCAATAAATTTATAATTTTACCTTAGTTGAGCGACAAAAATTGAAATAACGGATTGATTACGAGAAATAATATCCATCATGATAAAACTGAAGTTAATGATTTGATTATAATTGTTTATTATGGTTTATTCTTTCCAAATCAAATCAAAACGGCAAAAAATGTAATATATTTAATATGCACATTTTACAATAAATACAATAAAAAGTTCATACAACTTTCAGTTATGATTACAAAAATGTTTTACTAAAATTATCTTTGACAAAATTTTAATTCAAAAAGTTTACTTGTATTTTTCACAAGTTGAAATCCCTTGCCACATCCACATTTTGAATAATGAAATTTATAAGCTTTGAAAATGAATAACGAAAAATCCCACCCACCAAACGTGACGGCGCAGCAGCCATGCAGGTAAACACACTTTCTGTAATAATGCCGACTCTTTTTATTTATTTCATTGCCCGGCATGAGCTGATGAATTTTTGATGTGCTCGCTCGGAAAATGTGTTTTCCCCGGTTCGGAAACGTAACCGTCGCCAACCGATCGCCCTTGTGTCACGTGTCGGTGGCGACGGCGACTGTGAATTCTGCAGAGTGCTCTTGATTACGATGTCACGGAATTGTGGAGTTCGCTTATGCGAGCGAGTGTTCTGCCTGACAGCGGCATTTAATATTATTTATTCATACTTGTCCGTGCTGCGGGCGGACTTTACTTGTGTTGTGGTCATTTTTATTTATGCCCTGCCAGATAGTTGCTACGCGTTTGTAGTTTTATCAAAAGCGTGCGTGGGTAATTAAAATTAATGACAACGACTCAAAAATTCAACTATGCAAAATTTACTTGCCTCCAGGGGTGTCAGAGCTAAGCTAATTTTGCGAGAAAAATTTTCCAGTGAAATTATTTTGATTGTAACCATAGAAATTGTAAATATTGCTCATATTTAAACTAAATTCATATAATAATTATCTACATGCAAGTTATATAAACCGACGATCTAGAGTTTAAAACTAAAATTCGAAAGCAGCAAAAGAATAAAGAAGACCGCCGACATAATATATTTTATTTTGCTAGAAGAAATATTAACAAGAAAAATTTGCCACAGAATTGAAAAGTAATCTATTAATATCTTTCCAATTTGGATATTATTTATAAAACGGACAAACTATAAATTACTTTTTGATCTGCTACGGTTTGCAAAAATCTGCTATAAATACGCAACAAAATGTGATTTTTTCCCCCATTGAATTGGTTGAAAAGGGTGGTCCGGATTTTGATCCGCGGCGCGTGCATTGAATTTTTGCGAGTGTTTTATATTGCACATAGCATGCATGGAATACACACACAGCTCAGCGCGCCGCTCATAAAAAAGTAAATGTTTGATGTTTAATTTAAAATTCAATTTTGCGAACCTTAAATCTTTTTCATTATTCAATCCCATTGTGTCACAAAATAAAACAGCAGCACGCTCGCCGCGCGCATTTAACGATTTTTTTTGCGAATTGTCATTCGAACAACGCGAAAATGTCTCTCTTCATTTTATATTTTTCTGCACAATTGGACAAAGTCTGCGTTTCAAAAAGAGATCGTGCTGTGTTTTTTATGCACAGCAAAACTCATATGTATTAAAAAGCGTGAGCTACCTTTTTTATTCGTCATCTCTCTCGGCGAAAACGAACTATGGAAATGAGAGAAAATCTCTCTTGCTTTTTTAACTTTGGGGAAACTCAGCTTTCGCTCTCTGTTATTTTTTGTCCTTTTCAATTGGCTGATGGAAAATGGCGTTGCTGCGCCCCGTGTGTGTTTTTTTATTAGGGTATATTGTCGTGCGTTAAAAACAATTGTGCTTTCTCTCTCTCCTGCTCTTTCTCTCTCTGGCAAAAGTTTTTTATATTCCAATTCTCTTCACATAATCACATACAATAACTTTGAGCTGCCTCGCTCGTCCTGTAGTAATAACAATAAAAAAGGCAATTGTACACACATAGAGAGGTTATTTTTGAGGCTTAAAAATATATATCTCGTGCCAGAGCCAACTTTGCCAAATGCGTCCCGGGGGCTCCTTTGCGCTTCTTCGCACGTCCGGTGTATAAAAAAGCAGGAGGAAATAAGAAAAAGCTGAAGCAGCCATGCTCATTCGGTACGTGAGCCGCGGCAAATAAATAAGAGAGACAAACGGAGAAGCAACAAAACAGCAGCCTTATTTATCGTCTCTCTTTGTTTCTCTATCTCGGGCGGCGGCGGCGGAAAAGTTGAGAGAGGGAAACGGATTTAATGGCTCCGGATTGAGCAAAGCGAATTTTCTCGCGCCACTGCCTTTCAATTTGGTTTCAATGGGCCGCCTTTTTCCGTTGTTGCAGGCCAAAGTGGAAGTGCAGGGCGAGCTCGGTTCACCCCTCCAGCAAGCCAGGCGCTCGCCCAGCCCCAACCTGGAGCGACCCTGGGCCCTGACCACTCACGACAAACGCCACTACCGCTCCCACGAGGTCGCCAGGCACCTCACCATGATCAGAGGTACAAAAATGGCGATAAATTATGAGAAAACTAATTAAATAATATTTAAATAAAAATTAAACAAAACATAATTTTAATTTTTTTTTTAAAATTTTAAAAGGCTCCATTATTTTCAAACGTTTTGCGTAAAATCAGATGATAAATCGAATAATATTTTATTGGGAAATTACAAAATTAATTTATTAACCTTGGCAAAATGAAATCAGGAATTATTAAAAATTTATTTAATGAAACAAGCAATAGTTTTAATATCTGGTAGATTTAAATATGTGAAAGTGAAATTAATCTTCTTTTTATAATGAACTATAAATTTAAAACAATTATTTAGCTGTTAGCATTTATAGTTCCTTATAACTTAGAATATTAAAGAGAATAATGCGCAATTAAGAAAGAACATTAATATTGAAGTTTGTAAAATTATGCTACAAATTTAATACAATACCAGTGACGCCAGTGAGGGATAAATCTTAAAAACATAACTATACATTTATGAGCTTTTTTCATCAGAATATGATATTTATTATTTGTTTTATAAGTTTTGCTTTTACTTTGTTGATAACTCCATGGAGGTGATGCAGTTATTTTCCATATCCGCTTTTAGCATGTAATGCAGAAATTTTTTTTAAGAAGTCGAAGGTGTAAGAAAACCTTGTTTTCGCACATGTTCATAATAATGCCTTTTGAACCCAGCTGGTCAGCGTACCTGGTTTGAATACACGCACTATATTAATAAGCCGCTTGCGAAGGCAAAATCCTTGAACAGAATGCGGCGAGCGGAGGAGCATTCATAGCCATGGTTACTGAGGGAAGCGCCGTGCTGCTGTGCTCACACCTCTTTGCGATGTTTCGCATTTAATTGGCGGCACGCAGATTTGTTTGCGGCGCCAATTTTAAGTACATCAGTCAAAGTGCGCGACCGCGATAATTATCAGTGCGGCAATAATTGGCGCGCGCTCACCATTTCAAGGGGCTTTGCTGTATAATTATGCTTTCTCTGCGACCACCGTTTGCAAATCCTTCTTTTCAATTTGACCTCCCTTGAATTATACCCTCCAGACCCCTACTCTAATACCAGAAAATTGGCACCGACCAATTCTAAGAAGAATTCTCCTCTGCATTTTAACCACAACTTTTCTGTCATATTTTTAAGTGTAGTTTGGTTTGTGTTTCAGAAATGGCCTCGTCGCCGGAATCAAACTCTGGACCTGCGTTGCAAAGTCAAACTGTGTTGAGAGATGTTGAAAGAAGGGCGCGACTTTCTGTCCATGGCAGACTTAAAGGTGAGCCGCTTTTAAATAAATAAATTCGATTTCTATTGTTGTAAAATTGCTCTGAAAAAAGTAGTCTCAAATTAACACAATGATAACTTAAATCTTAAAATCTTGTTATCATGCTCATTAAAAAATGTTTTGATTTTCTTCTTACATATTTTTCCTGGATGCAATAAATATTTTTAAAATTTTGGCAGGCCGTTGTAATTTAAAGCAATTTTTATAAACAGAACCTCCAGTATTCAAGCTGTTCAATTACTTTTTAATGGAAGTATTTTAGGGAGATAAAAATAAAATCGTTTGGTTCCCAATCTGTTTCAGAAGCTCAGAGTGCTCTGCACCAGTTGCAAAATAAAATCGGACTTGACTGCACAAGTTATCACCACGCGTTTCAAGAAACTAACAACATTTCGCCCTAAAGGTGAATGACGTAAAATGTGTTTTTACCCTTTGATCTCTCAGAACTCTCCTAGTCTTTAAAAAAAATTAGACACCCGCATAGAATGTTATAACCTTTTCAATATTGAAAAGTATTACCTGATTATGATCATCATGTTGAAAACTTACGGAAAGGGACCCCTTTTGTCATCGATGTTTGATCAAAAAATAAGTCATTAAAAATAAACCCTTCTTCCGACTATAATCAAACTTCTGCGCATTTCTGAATAAAAAATTTTTGACTGTTTTCCTCATGCTAATCAACGTAAAGTTACTCTACATGCGTGTAAATAAGCCTAGTCCCTTGTTGTGATATTGCATTTACCCTCTGCTTGAATGTACAATTATGGCATAATAATTTATCAACACAATAAAAGGAGTTACAAAAATTTTGCGTTTCAATTTTTATTCAACTCGGTCAATGTCTGTGCTGCGGCAGAGGAATGTTGGGTCGCTGCTTGCGGGCCTTGCTGGGCCTGGCCCACGGGTCGTGCTCTTGCGGAGGCGTGGCCAACTTTTCGTTCATCATTCTGCAGTTCTGCAGACGCTTGGCGGCCCTGATCAGCTTCAACTGCTCGGAGTGTAGCCACGAGTCATCCGAGCGCTTGTTGTACCGCTGGCGGGCGCAACGCAGACGGGCACCAGTGCATTTCTCTTTAGGCCTAAAAATGAAAAAAAAAAAAAATAATAATAATTATAATGAATTGCATTATTATTTTTTTAATTAAATGCAAATAAACAATAAAATCGTCCTTATTATTCAAGAAAATTACGTTAAGGCATTACAAAAAATTAAAATAAGGAATATTTCTTAGGCATTACGCCTTTCATTTCAAAATATGCAACCTGCTCAACTAGCATGCTAAGCGGCTTGCATAAGTTCTGCAATCTTAAAATTCTACTTGAATCTTGGAGTTACTTTAATAAAGAAAATATTTTGGACATAGTTAGTTTCATGAGATCATATTAATTTTTTTGTTTTACTTCTTTTCTATTTCTTTTAAATATAAAATAGTAAGTTTAAAAGTGGTCAAAATAAAAAAATTTAAAAATAGTATTTGAATAATGCTTCAATATACCTATGCTCAACCCTCAGGGTGGACATGGCAGGGTACTCTGTGGGCCGTTTCTTGCTGCCGAAGCTTTGTCTGGGGTCGCATCGCTGCGGAGGCTCGGTCAGGTCTTTGACAACGCCGCGCGCCCGCACCGCCAGATTGGCCTGGATGCGACGGGCCCGTTCGTGGTTGAGGATGTGCACCACCTCGGACACAATCATGCGATCGTCCCGCCGACTCATCTCAAAAAGATACTGGCGCGACCGCTCACGGGCCTTCATCATGGCAACGCGGATTTCAGGCCTCTCGCGCTTCAGAACCACCTTTTTAATAAAGTGAAATATAATGATGATAAATTGCTTTTTTTAATAATCACGACGCACTTTATCCCACTCTGGAATTTCAACGATTTTTTTCAGGGTCGGCAGAAAGAGTTTGAAGGTTGTGTTGGTGTTGTGCACTTCGAATTTGAGTTTGGCGGCCGACTCAACAAACTCTTTGATTCGGTACTTTGGCTTTTCAACCGCGGAGAATGAAACTCGTTGATCGTCACTCCCTTGGCTCGTTCGACCAGACGACTGCACCTCAAATTCTTGCGTGTAGCTCTCTTCAGGTCCAGTTTCTGTCTGATCTCCAACAAGTTTCTCCCAATCTTTTTCATAAACCATTTAATCTTAAAAATTGACAAAAATAATTAAAAATACCAAAATCAATCTCCTTCAGCTCCTCTTTGACCTCAAATTTTCCTTCCAACTCATCGTCATGTATAAAATACGGATCTTTGCTATCTGGATCAATCGATTTCTCAAATCCTTCTGTTTCTTGTTTATTATTTATTTTTTAATATTAATAATTTTTTATGCGTTGAATACCAAAAAAACAAACCAAAATCTGTTTCCTGTGGCTCCTTTTTGATCTCAACTTTTGCTTCCAGCTCGTCGTCGTTTGTTGAGTCCAGTTCACCATCTTTGGTGGCGTCTAAATCTTCCGTAGTCTCTAAGAATTCAATGCTCTCGTTTTGAATTAGGGAGTCGGCTTCATCCTCGCCTTCTGTTCGCAGAATTTCCTCAGCAGCCGTAATTGGGGCGTCTTCAGCACTTTCCTCGCCCGGAAAATCTGCAGCAATGTCCTCGGCCGCCAAAGGTCCCGCCTCATTTTCTGAAATTCTTTCAGATGGATATTCTGTCGGCGAATCCATTTTCAAAATAAAAACGTTGACCAAAAATAAGTGCTGCAAGAATTCAAAAAAAAAAAAAAATATTCCGATTGTTGAATAAATATTAATATAATAATGTACTCCTTAATGTAATGTGACTCCTTATTGACATAGTCAAATCAAGTCTTTTCAACAATAGAAGCCATTTTGGGTAATTATTGGAAATTTAACAAACCATTGTTTTAAAGACTTGATTTGACTAGGTCAATAAGGAGTCCTAAAAAGCTGTAAAAAGCATATGTTTATCTGTAAATAGGTTCTATATTTTTAATATTGTAGATATATGGGCTGCGGCAGCTTCCAACAAAATGGAAATAGAACGACTGTTAAAAAAATGCACTATAATTATAAAATAACAAAATGATATTAATGTGTGGATGAAATTTTCAATAACTCCTTATTGGCATAGTCAAATCTTCAAGCATTTTTTACAACAATGGTGATTATAATAAAATTTCCAATTGTCGCACCTTCCAAAAATCACAAAAATCGGTTTATTTCGTGGCGAGGACTTCATTTGAATATGTCAATAAGGAGTCCTCAATTTTAAGCATCAAAAATAAATATATATAAATTATATATTTTTAATTGTAATTTTTATTTTTTAATAGTGATTAATAGTTTGAGGCTTTAAATAACTGCGGATAAACAAATTTGAAACAATTTTTGTTCTGGTAAGAACGCAATGCTCGATCTCTTGATGGAAGGGCGAACTATTTAGGGGTTGCAAATAGAAGATATTAATGTGGAGAGCCATCTGCGGGTTGCGAGCAGGGGGTGCAATCGATTGTTGATATCACCGCTGGATTCACCAGCCATCTGCTCGAGGGTGCAGCAACGACGAGGGGTTGATAGTGCGGCCTGTTGAATCTAGATGGCCGCGACATAGGGAAATTAAAAAAAATCAGCCCTATTTAGTTTCCTTGGTGAATTTATAATCCACAAAAATGTAATAGGGAATCGATTTATGGTTGAAAATTTATTCGTTTCCCAATTCTAGAATCACCAACGAGGTCAAGAAAATTCAATAATTATTCCAAAATAAGGAAAATCTGTGACCACTTTTCTTTTGTAAAGTTCATTTGTTTTTCTAAATGAATTGTTTGAAGAGAAAAATCTTGAAAACGAATTTATAAGTGATGAGGAATATTATCTTATGAGTTAATAACTCGCAGCACATGTACAAACATGTTCCTACACGTACGTATGTTTTCCTTTATTGCCTCTCAATGGTGTGCGGTCACTCCATCAAGTGCAAATGTAAATGATGAAATGCCGATTTTCAGTTTACCCAAGGCTAGAAAAAAGCCACGGAATCCGTTGCTTTCCGACAAAAACGCCCATTCTTGTGCATAAATTAAACAGCTCGTCCGCTCAAGAGAAAGAGCGCGAGAGGTTGTGGAAAATAAAATTATTCTGTTTGTCATAACAGGATGTTAGCCGAGAAATCGCTGGCTGGCTTTTTATCGTAAAAAAAGGAATACCTTTTGAATAGAGGCGTCGCTCGGAACACGCGAGATTTGTTAAAATATCCTCTCAAAAATGACGCTATTTATCTTTCATCGCTACTTTCGATGTTTTTCTTTGACAAAAGCTGTTTTTGTGCGCGACCCATAGGTTTTCTGACGAAAAAATAACACCCAAATGAATAAATATTAGCCAGGAGGATTGCGTGATGGACACGTCAGAATATAATGAATCTATTTTCACGTGTGAATTGTGAATATGTTTTCTTGCATGGCGGAACTACACTTTCTGGAGCGATATATTCACAATGAAAAGTGGTTTTGAGCCGTGGGACACTTTTATTTATTATTGTGACAATCTTACTCTTTTCAAAAAGAAAGAAAAAACCCAGCACAAAATGTATTATTATTGCTGCCTTGGTGTATTTGTTGTGTGCAAGCAAAGAAAATATTTATTATAATTTTTAATTTGTCTTTAGAATTGAAATCAATCCCACGCAAAAAGAACCCTTTGTAATTAATAAATAATTTAAATAACGATAAAAGCAATATAAATTTTTATTTTTAATATTATTTAAAAGCTGCAGAATAACTCCACATCAAAATCAAAAAGTACTCGCAGCAAAAGTTTTGATTAGACAACCGCGCCTATCTGGCGCCTACGTTGGAACTTACGCTGAATTTAAGTATTTATTAAAAAACTAATTTATTTATTTAAAGCTACAGACTAATTACTTAAGAATGCTGCTGCTCTCAGTCAGAGCGGTTGACGGACACGTTCATGAATTTCAAGGCGCGTCTCCATTTCGGCTCATCCCATAAATATATCTCGTCCTCTCTTTTTTCTATCACACAAAGGGCACTCGAGTCAATCAAAGCGCCATGAATGAAAAACACACCGACCCTCGTGTTGCATATGCGTGCACGTTTGTGTTATTCTTTCGACGCGCCTCGTTTTTCATTGCCGTCAATAAAAACACCCAAGGGCGGCATTTAGAAAATATTTGAGCGGATTATAATATTATTTTTATTATTTCAGCAGTGCGCGCCGAGTGTGTGTGTTTATTCAAGTCTCGGCGCTGGCGTGAATTTCGTACTTAATCACGCTGATGGGTTGATCGCAGCGAAAATATTTTGTGATACAAAGAATGGCTCGAGTGCATATGGAGAGAGAGAGACGGACTCGAGTGGTTCCACAAAGAGAGAGGATGGAGCCGTGCTTGGAGATGCAATGTTTTCGAGGATGATGCCACATGAATAGTAATAATAAATCAACATTATAATTGCGCCAGGACCTTCTTCCAGCGACGGGCTAAGAAGTCCAATTAATAAAAAATAATTTGTTAATGTTGAATATTTTTAGATCTGGAAAAATTAGAAACATTGCTCTCATTAATTTTTTTATTGAAAATTAATAAATACACAAGTTTTTATTTTATTGATACCTTCTTAATGGTGCTAGATAGAACAATAA